TCAATATCTCAACAAGTGTACTAGTTACTCCACTCTGCGTTGCACACTTGCCCGGGAGTGAAATACCTACATACTACCTCAGTAGATTGGAATGTTGGCTTTCAGTTAAAGAAGAAAAGGCAAACAGGAGGAAATGGATTGGTGGAGGAAATGGATTGGTGGAAAGAGAATTACGGAAGGAAAGGTGATAAAATCTAACAGTGATATGATATTTTCAAGTGAATGATGGAGATCAATTTGTATTGTTTCAAGTATAGTGGATTTTAGTATTACTTGAATATATCAGACCAGATTAGTACACTCGTTGAAATCAGAATATTTCAATCTAATTAAAGCATTCGAAGAATCTGTTTGATATAAGCTACTAGTAAAAAAATATATGGACAAAAAATGTGGGTATAAGTTACTATTTGTAAGTTTTATAGTCACCATGAACTAAAGTTTCAATACAATTTATAGTCACTAAAGTTATTAAAATCACATTTTTGCCCACTACTATTATTTTGGTTATATATTTGAAATTATTTCTACTAAATTTAGTTGAATGTGATGAAATTAGTGAAATTCTTGTTCGCTTGAACATACAAAATTATAAAAGAATATTTAAAATATACTCCCCTTCAGTTTCACAAAACTTTACCAAATTAATTCTTCTGGATGAATGATAGTAATCCATGCACTATGATATTTTCAAATATAATTAACTTTTATAGTTCTATGAACACATTTTCAACATATAATACTTTCATATAATTTTCATATTCTAAACATTTACGTAAAAAATATTATTAGTTAAAATAGAGAAAATTTATATCAAAAGATACAAAAGAGCTATGATAGTTAAAATAGTTTTTTCAGTAAATTTAGTCAAGAAAGTAAGTCCAATCTTACTCGTTTCGATTACTCTCTTCGTTGCATAAAACTTTGTCAAATTTTCTTATTTAGCCATCTAAATAAAATTCAGTTCTATTTATAATAAGAAGTATGTTGTGGAATTGATTTCTCTCTCCTCTACACAAAACTCAATCACTCAATTTTTAGTTTATTATTCCATATACAAGTCAAAGTTTACCATATTTTGTGGGACGCGAGGAGAGAGTATACCTATTACATAATACAACGTGTGGAATAAAAGTTACGTGTTTGACATAAATATTGATAGATAAGATTGATACACCAAAAATAAGGCTCACTAAAACGACTCTAATTTTACAAGAACTTGACTTTTAGTAAGAATTTACTTTCAGGAATTCAGATGAGAGGGAGTGTAAGGACCAAGCACTAATTTCTGATAAATATAAGAAACTCACTTTAATTCTAGATCTGAAAAAGTTCGAACTAATGAAGTCAAAGAGGTCTAATCAGAATCTTAAGCCGCGATAGGGGCACCTGATAGTTAAACAAGGTTTTTCGAGTATATTTTGAGAAGTAACTTTGATTCAATAATTCTATATAATGTAATGAAGTCATTCATGACAATTGTACGATAATGTTATATACGGAGTATGTATTATTTTTAATATTCGATGATTAAGTTATCGTTTAAGAGTGTTAATAATTTCTTAAAAAATAATGAGAACCTTTACTTGAAACGTCTAAAAGATGCCGACAAGTGATAAGTCTAAATTGGGATGGAGGGGTACATTTTATTTTTGATATTTTTTTTGAAGGATTTTAATTTTGATTTAAGTATTTTTTTTTAAAAAATCAATGCGAACAACTTCATAATAAAATATGTGATGTATTTAATTTATAGTTATTCTAGAAAGAAAACTACTAACCAAATAACACTATTGATTCAAATATGACTAAATCTTTACTTTAGAATATTGTGTGTGTTTTCAATGCTTTGTAATTATGATCATAATATAATAATTATGACTAATATAATTAATTTTGATTTTAGTTTGGTTTAGCTACATAAAATTTAGAGAAAATTACCCTTGTAACTAAAAGAGCACGTGTTTTCACTATATATGACTCCATGAGATTTTATTCCTAGTGTGTTACCCGCACAGTCATTTTCTATGCAGTTTTAAACACTCAATACTCGTTTACAATAGTTTATGGTGATATTACTTGCCAATGGACTTTCTAAATCATACTTACTCCATTCGGATAAGGTTCATTAAATTGACTTTTTTTTTATCAATGATGACTAACTTTAGACAATTAATTTAATTATTATATTTGTATATAATTTATAAAGAGTATTTTGATATAATTTTTATATTCCAAATAATTTTGTATTAGAAAAATCATTTATTAAAGTTAATTGTCATTGACTAAGAAAAGCCAATTTGACGAAACTTTTCGAGACAGGGGGAGCTGAGTATTAGGTACGGGAAAGTCTGACTCCTTTAGTAATTATAATTATATATGATGGAGTATATGGCCCGGGAACACCCGGCCCACAGACTCCTACTACTCCTTTAGAGGCCTAACAGGCCCAGAAGGCCCAACAGGCCCAAATCATGGCGCCCAGAGTACCAAGCTGCCCACGATACGCACCAGGGGTGCCTTCGGCCCCCTAGCCAAAGGCTCCAAACTATCACAGCATGGATATTTCGAACAAACAGAGGAATTGGGAGAAAACGGCGAAAACAGTAGCCCTCGGCACCTGGAGCCCTCGGCACTCAGGGACCCTCGGCTAGTCCTCTGCAGCCGAAGGCACCTCTCCCGACATGATATCCGCCTCACATGCGTGCAGATCACCGTACCCTGTACAGACGTCCCATCCAACAGCCGCATTAAATGCGGCCACATGCGGCTGCCAACGCCAACCAGTTGAGGTGACCCCTCGGCCAATAGGCGCTTGACACGTGTCCCTGTCCGGCATTTATTGCTACTATAAATAGCACCCCATTTCCCCATTTGTAACCACGACATTCATACTGAATACACTCTCTCTTACTTACTCGTGCTCTGACTTCTCTCTAAGTTATTCCCAGCAATAACCCCTCGGATATATACCCCCCGGGTAGACTATCCATCAGTATATATAACCGTACCCGCACGGGTAGCTCAATTGGTCGAGTGGTGGGAGATTTGGAACAATGGACCAAGGTTCGAATCCCCGCAGCGACCGAGTGGAGATCACAGAACCTGAAATAAGATTGAATCACCGTGACCAACCTTCCCACCATCCTGTCGGGTCGGGGTGGGGGGCTCGTGGGGTGGGAGATTCCACCTTTTTGGAACAATTATATATATAACCGTATATTTCAATTCCCTGTTTTGTAATACAAATTTTATTAATGTTGATCGGAGTTAACTCAACATTGGCCGAGTTGCTTTCCGCTCCATTTTTTAAAATAGAAGTTTGGTTTATACCGCATGTGAGCACATTTTCTTTTTGTAAAAAGGATGACACCCTGAGGGTCCTCCAACCCCGACCGGATGATACGTTAGAAGAATGTAAATTGGACTATAATCCCAATCTGACATATAAAGAGTGAGACTCTGTCTCGGTACTTGCTGAGGCCTTATGCATTTTTAGCATAGTAACCCTTCATCGCAGTTGCCGAGATTCGAACTCGGGACCTAACTCTTGTGGCACTCCCTTGCTACCAGTTGAGCTACGCACATCGGTAGCATTTTCTTTTTGTTACACGTGAAACTTTTTATAAGGAGTATTTAATGACGAAATTGTTAGGACCTGAGATTTATCTTTAAAGGTCAACCTAATAGAACGAGTAGTCCAAACTTTTTATAAGGAGTATTTAATGACTAAATTGTTAGGACCTGAGATACTCACTCTTGTTCAAGGATGAACACCCAAAAGTTTTAATTGTTAGTATCAAAACGGTGCCGTTTCCATCATTTGAAAAACATTTGCTTCATATGCACTTCAACTCCGTCAGGCCACGACATGTGTTTTAGAAACTCTTAGCTGTTCAGTGTCATGCCCATAAAGAATGCTGAATTTGAGTACTCTATAAGGATTAAGACCACCTCATATATTACCTCACCTCTTTTACATGTCTAATAATTCATTGATGTTAATAGCAAAATATATGGTGAAGAAAAGTATACTTTATCGATGAAAGTCTATTTATTTAAGCAGATTTGGCATATAACAAAATATAATCGAATACTTGTAGTATTTTATTTTTATTTAGATTACCATATTATGCGGCATTACGTTTTACTCAAATGTACTAATTTTATATTGGTGAAGCTAAGGTACAGTTGTAAAATTGGTGCATCACATAATTAAAATTATTGTTCAATTCTTAGTTTTAATATGAATGTAATTTCGACATCCAAAACACAAGTGCTAGATCCGCCACTGCTTGTTAAGGTTCTCTTTGGTCTATTTATATATACACCCCGATATTGTCCAATTCGGTTCGGAGTAAAGGAGCGTGTTAAAGTATTTGTCCTACGCTGAAAAACTACGCTATAAAACAATAAAACATTATACTACGTATAAGTTAGACTTTGAGCTACTCCTCGTATCAGGTTAACAGAAATGAAGTAGAAATATCTTGTGACTTGAGTGTAGTCATGCATGTAGCGTATTCATTTTAGTTGTGGTTTTCTTCCATTCTTCTGATCCTTTTTCTTCTTTTAATATAATGCATGGTTGGTCGATGATCATGTCGTTCATGCTAGTCTGTCAACCATGTGTATGACCCCTTATTTGCCTGATGTGAAGCAACCACCTTTTTCATTAATTTGTTACTTTTTCTTTTAATTGCAAATGAAACATGGGCGCAGTTGATCTTGTTAGGAATAATGCCATGGCATGGCATGGCATGGCATGGGTAGTTGCATCTTCCTTCTTCAATCTTCATCCAAGGAAGAACATCAATACTTTGCAACTTTAATCATTACCATGGATTAACAACTCCCTTCTTTCATTACTTTCTTGACAAAATGACACATATACCCTCACTATACATGCAAGAATGGCAGTGCATGGGCGGAGCTGGGAGACCAACTAGGCCCCACTTCAAAGTTCAAAAACCTTGGTTACTAGTACAATAAAATATAACAAAAGATCGAATAGGTTTGAGAGAATACTTGAGTTGAATAATTTATACAGAGTAATATAACATAAACGTTAATTTAAATGAGATCTAGATAATTATTGATTGAGAGATTTCCCTAAATGGGACTAAAATAGAGTAAAATTGCACAAATAAGACTGTCATGTTTTATGGATCAAAATAGGACCAAAATTGTAACGATGGACAAAATTACCCTTAATGAAACAAAAACAAAAACATATTCAATAGGGCCATGATCGTTGCACCTCCCCCGACTATTTGCAGCAAGACCTCTCCAGACCGTCATCGCCACCAATAATACCCTCCTCTACGCCATTCATCGCCACCAAGACCGTCGCCGCCACTTACCGGCGAGGTCGCTGCCGCTTCCACCGACAAGACTGCCGGTGTTATCCTCTCCCTCTGGTGAGAATAGTGTTACGGTGTCATCCGTCACTGTTAAGTTCTCCCCTGGAGGTGTCGACATCTTTCTTGTTGGGGCTACCTCCTCTGGAGAGCAAGTTATCAATTTCAGGTGAAATTGTCATCACATAACATCCAAGACAAAAACATGTCATTTTTAGATGCAGAAACATGTCATTTTGAGATTACAACATGACATTTTCAAAGACAAAAACGTGACATTTTTAGATGCAAAACATGTCATTTTGAGATTACAAATTTACATGACATTTTCAGATAAAAAATATGACATTCTCATGTGATAAAAATGTCATCATTTCTCACAAATGTCAAAAACATTGCATTTTCAAACATATAATACTGCCATCTCCAAAAAATTGTCATCATGTCTCCAAAAAATTGTCTATCATGTGGCATTTTTTAGAAGGTGAATGACATACATAATAAAAAAACCAGACCAATATAATATCGAAGGACAACTGATAGAGCCTCAAATTTCATATCCAGAAGTCCCAAATCCAAAATTTTCAAATAAAAAAATTACATTTTGAATCAAAAAAATCAACAACAAAAATTAACATAAAAACATTCTAAAATGAAAGAGCAGAGAACATAAGAGAATAAGAAGAAGATGAGGAGGAGGAGGAGGAGGAGGAGGATGAGGAGGAGGAGGAGGAGGAGGAGGAAGGAGGAGGAGGAGGAAAAGAAGAAGAAACACTTACCTGGACATATTTCAACCAGAGTCGTGGAGCTTGGAACCGGCGGACATGGGAGAGGTCTGGGCGATCGACCAGAAAAGGAGGCAGAGGAGATCAGCAGAGACCGATTGATATGCGAGAGAGTTGGGGCCATTGATGCGGAAGAGAGATGCCGATGCATTTAGGGATTTAACATACCAGGGGTAAAATAGTAATAGGGAGTCCCATTTAGGGAATTTAAAACATTAAGTCCTAAGTTGGAATATTCACTATGTTTTAGTCCTAATTAAGTCAATTTTTTCTTATTGATTTGATACTTCCTCCGTTCTTTTTAAATTGCAACTATTAACTTTTCACATGTGCCAACGCACAAGTTTGACCATTAAAATCTTTCATTTCTTATTAGTAAAAAAACTAAAAAATTCAGATTTTGAAATTTCAAATGAGAAGAATTTCACAATATTTTTTAAAAATTGAATTTATAACACATTAATAAATAAAATATAGCCAAAGTAGAATCTTTGAATAGTGCAAAAAGTCTAATGTTGCAATTAAAAGAGAACAGTGATAGTATATACTATGTAACATACGGAGTATTATAAACTTCAGGTAGCTACTATATGTGAATAAGATGTTACTTTTAAAAATTGAAAATATTACTATCAAACTGAGTTGTAAATTTTGACTCCCAATGAGTTACTGAAGTTATGATACATTATAGGTAGATTCTATGGTACTTATAAGGTACCATACCTTTGTTCACATGGACCAATAAGAATGTTGCAGTTGAATTATTTAAATCTAAATTAAAAATGATATAATGATGTAGACCAATCAAGTGAATGATAGGTACAGTACCCCATTTTTTATATGGGTACCGGAGTTGTCACCTACATTATATTAAATCGAGATATTTCAATGCTCTACATGCTCAAACTTTCAAGACACCCTGCCCCTGCTCCTGCCCCTGATCGTCTATGTAGCACGGAAACTCTCGAGAAAGAATACGTTTCCATTTCAGAAACTCCACGGAAACTCTTTGGAAACTCTCTAAATTAAATAAGTCTTTTTTGAGCAAAAATTGACGTTTTATGTATCTTGTTTCCTCATGATTTTTGCATTTCCGTGCAACATAGCTGATCGTGCCTATACTTGTTACTTGTATATATTTATGTGCTGCGTGCATGTTTTCCTGCTGAGTAATCAATAAGCCTGCTTTTTTTATTATTTTTCTACGGGCTACAATGGCAATTATTACTAATAATATTGTTAGTGTACTTCATGTTGTAGTCGTTTTTTGTGTTTTGCTTGACTTTTCCATGTCCTCGGAGATTCGCCTGAGAGTTGACCAGTCTGGAAAGGGAGATCACCGGAATATACAAGATGCCATCGACTCCGTGCCGTCGAATAACTCCCGGCAGGTGCTTATTTCGGTTTGTCCCGGCGTTTACCGAGAAAAAGTTGTGGTTCCGGCGGATAAGCCCTTCATAACTTTGACCGGGAGAAAAGGTAGCGCCACCTTAATTACGTGGGACGATTATGGGGATATATTTACCTCTCCCACTTTCACTATTTTTGCTTCTGATTTCACGGCTCGATATCTCACTATTCAGGTAATTAAATGATTAAAATTTATTTTCTGTTGTTTTTTTCGAACCGTTTATTTTCTGTTGTTGATAATTTACAATAATTAATAAAATGAAACTTAATGTTAATTATTGTTTATCCCGTAATTTTAATTAGGATTTAGGGATTAACAAAAAACTGATAAATAGAAATCAACCGACAAATCAATTAAAATGAATTGATCGACCAAAACAAATACGAAGTACTACATATAAACCCGAAATCGATAAACAACTGATTGGTTCATTGGCATGCAATTTGATTCGAGAAAATTCCTTTTGTATGACTAAAATTTAAACAAAGTGCTGATTGGACTATCATTGTTTTCTTCCTAAAACAAGACTTATAATAGTAAATCTTTTATACTTTTAATAGGATCAAATAAATCTTATTTCAGGAATAAAATACAAAGAATGGTCTCTATATTACTACTACCTCTGTAACTCTAGAATCTTTCTAGTTTGACTTTTTTGGGTCAAACATTATAAACTTTGACCATTAATTATTCAAAACTCACATTATGTTATGATTAAAAATTTATTTCATATACCTCATTGTAAAACATATTATTTGAATGTTAATTTATTATGAATTTTATAAATATAGATATGAAGATATTTAGAGTCAAAGTTCAACTTAGAAGACCGTGAAAAGTCAAAACGGAAAGATCTTTGTGTTACGGAGGTATTAATAAACTAATCAATTTCAAAATTATGACTTTTTTCTATTTTCCAAAACTATGACCATTATTAAAACAGGTCTAAAAACATATCTGGAGAGCATAGCACATCTTCGTCGCATCGATCCGTCACCCCCGTTTTAGAGGACCTCGTTTGCAACATCCATTCTAGTGCTGTAGTGCAGATGGCCATCTGCTTCACATCATCTGCTCGGAAGTGGAGATCGGTAGACCGCGCCTTAGCTTGCATCATCGACAATCGTATCCTTCACCTCAACTCTCTTCTTCTACTCATTTCTTCTCCTCCGCTGCTTTCCTTATCTGCAACCACCATCGTTCACCTTCTCCACCGTTGTTGCTAAAACTGAATCGTCGGCGTTGTTCGCTAGTCTCATCGATCTCATCTGCAGTTTCAAATTTGGTGGCGGTTGAGATTGTTGGGGCTCGGGCAAGTCGTAGAAGGGATGGGGTAAGGCAGGGTGGTAGTTGTTGTGGCTGCTGTGAGTTGCAGAAGGATGGGCGGGGCTGTGCGGGGCTGGGGAGCTTGGCAGTTAGGATGGGGATGGGGGAGCAGGGGATGGATACGGTATGGTGGGCTAGGGAGGGGCTGGTGGGCTGGGGCAGCAGGGGCTGGGTGCCTTGGGGAGGGGCTTGGGCAGTGGCGGATCTTATACATAAATTTTGAAGGTTCAAATTTATTTTATAAGGTTTGGGTGTTCAAATACATATATAAATTTTTGCACTAGCACCCATATATATGTATTTTTACACTACTAGTTAAAAAAATTGGATGTTCACATGAACACTTTTGAACATAGGGAGGTCCACCCCTGGGCTTGGGAGGGGGCTGGTGGGCTGAGGAGGGGTTGGTATGGTCATGGTTAGGGCGGTGGCTAGTGGTGGTTGATGGGTGTGTGCGCGGGGGTGAGTGCGATTTTGGGAGTCGGGGTGGCGGTTCATCTCCCGCGATGTCAGTCGTAGCAATTTCACTGAGCAGAAATGATCATAGTGACATATATTCCGGCGACAGTGACTTTCGCATGACCGTAAGTGACATTAAAATCTAATAGTGACATCCACAAGTACATTAAAATATGAAAGTTCCAATTTATACTGACACGAAAAAATTGCAGTGACATAAAATTTTTGCAGTTATATCATTGTTTTCCAAATATATAACCTTGTTATTCATATTTTTGTCCATATGTAAAAGTAGTTACATTTTTGAAAATTAACTTTAATTCGATGCTTGTAATATTTAGAGGAAAACTCTAATACAATACATGTAATTCTATTTGTGCATTTTGCTTAAATTTTAGTCTGGAGCAATATTTTATTTGGTTCACGGTTTGAGATTTACCTTGAAAAACTAATCGAACTGATCAAAATAAACTACGTAGAATATAGTATAGACGATTGATTCATACCCGCACGGTAGCTCAGTTGGTCGAGCGGTGGAAAAAATTGGACGTAGACCAAGGTTCAAATCCCGCAATGGCCAAAAGAGGGTTTTCAGAAACTGAAATAAGGCTGGTCCTCTGGTGCGCACGGGTAAAGACCTACTGCCGCTTTGCTGACTGAGTCACCGTGATTAACCTCCCAACCATCCGGTCAAGTCGGGGTGGAGGCCCTGAGGTTGGACATTCAACCTTTTTGGACGTAGACGATTGATTCACATCATATCACAACTGATACAATCCGATCAAAATAACCAAAATTACTAATTCCATTCGCGATTTTATTTTATATATCTCGAAATTGAACCAATTAAAACCAAACTAATTAACACCTATCCCTAGGTGTTAATTAGTTTGGTTTTAATTGGTTCAATTTCATAAAAGTATCATTCACATTAATAATCTTTTCGTATCAATTTTTCATAATATGCGTTTGTCTAACTTAACACCATTATTTGACAATTATAGTAAAAAAGCTCTTGTTGTGAACAATTTTAAATAGCTACAAAATTAAATCTGTCAAGTACTCAAGTACATAGGATAGTATATTAAAAGTAGGGATAGGTTCTCATATGAGTAAATTTCTTGATTTATCATTTGTTTTGCTTTATTTTTAAATTTTGAATTAAAAGAATATAATATACTATGTATATGAAATGAATACATACAGAATACACATGGTCCTGGAGCGAAAGCAGTGGCGATGAGGGTTGCAGCGGACAGAGTTGCAATGTTTGGGTGTAGAATTTTATCGTATCAAGACACTTTGCTTGATGACAGGGGGAGACACTATTATAATAATTGTTATATCCAAGGTGATACTGACTTCATTTGTGGAAATGCCACTTCTCTATTCGTGGTAATTAATTCATACGGACTATAATATATATACCTTAATCTTTAAATAATCATTTCACCAAATTCATATTTAATATATCGATCCATAACAAAATAATGTTTTCTTTTATCAAGAAACCATTTACATTCATCATACCAAAAAAACAGACATGAGTAACAACATTTTGAAAATAATACGGAATATATATAATATACAAATATTCTACTATATCACTCTATATGATATTTACAAATCTTATGATAAAGGTAGCAATCATATATTTTTAAAAAAAGGTAGCAATCATATATATTAATTTAAATGATATATTTCAAAGAAAAGCTTATCATCATGTAACCATATATTACTAAATATAAAATGTTCTGAGATAAATTAAAAACGATGATTATTAAAATTACAACCATTGATATATACTTTTTCTAATCTAATCAAATATCACAAAATCTTTGCGTAATATTTAAATTATATTCGAGCAAACATATATAACAAATATCTAATTATTATTATTTTCACCACCACCATTATTATTATTATTATTATTAGAAAATATGATTATAAACAGCTAAAGTAGAATAAGTAAGACATGCCTTATCTGTGCATTGATATATTATTAAAATTGCATCTCCATGCACTCAGGGGCGGATCTAAAGCTTGTATAGGGGGCAGTTGCCCCCAATAAAGTGTCAATAGTTACCTAAAATTTATTAGGAATTTTTTTAATTCAGATAATTGCCCCCAATAAGAAAAATCAAATGCCCCCACAAACCTACCCACCGAACTCGAGTCAGCCAGAATAAAATAACTCGATGAAGCGGTAGTGCCCAAATGCCAAAATAATACTCCGTGTACATTTGAGCTTTCATAGTTTCATTAAATAAAGTGTTGAAGTATATTTTAGATGATGTTTAGATATAATAAATAAACAATATAGTTTATCCTATATTATAAGGGTGTTAGTACAGTAATTTACTAACTTTAGTAAGTTAGAATTAACAATAAAAAATTTACAACTAACTACAAATAGTTTTTTCGATTTAAGAATTAAGAAACCCATATAAAATATAAATTTTACATGGCTACCACTCTGATAGAAGGTTTAAGATATATAAAGAGACAAAATACATTAGTTATCAAAACAATTATTACATTATTTATTAGATTGTATGGACATTTATTTGAATAATATTTCTCAATATGCTATATCTATTCCTCAAGAATTGGTGATCAATTTCTGAGTAACTATTTTGTTATTTTTGCTTTATAGAAAGATTTGTATTTGAATCCGTCGCAAATCAAATTATAATGGATCGCTTTCAAAAGACAAAAACTCGAATAGAGCAATTGTGATTTAGGGGATATTTGGATCTGATTCTTAAAACTGTTTCTGCTCCTTCAGGGAACAGAAGCAGAAGTTGAAGTGTTTGGGTGAAAGTGCAAAAGTGATTTTGGTGCTCTAATTTACTCCTAGAATCATTTTTTAGAAGCTGAGAGTGACCAGCTTCTGAAAACTGATTCTTATTCTGCTTATGCTTTAAAAAAGAAGCAGAAGCAGAACCATTTCCAAACACCCCCTTACTCTTTTAGGGTTTTTATATTGTAATATACTTTATATAGTTTGAAAATTCTCACGTTCTTTATTACTACCTCCGTAACCCTAGAATCTTTACAGTTTGACTCTTTTGAGTCAAACTTTATAAACTTTGACCATTAATTATTCAAAACTCACATTATGTAATGATTAAAAATTTATTTCATATACCTCATTGTAAAACATATTATTTGAATGCTAATTTATTATGAATTTTATACATATAGATATGTAGATATTAGAGTCAAAGTTCAACTTAGAAGACCGTGAAAAGTCAAAATGAGAAAATCTTTGTGTTACGGAGGTAGTAAAAGTTTTTGCTATTCAAATATATTGTATTATTTTTTTTTTGTACGTCAATGTTACTCTGCCCCCAATAGCTCGGATTCCTGGATCCGCCATTGCATGCACTAAAATTAATTAATTATATGATTTACAAAATAGAAATATTAATGACACAATTTGAAACATACTGTTCTTTTACACAATGAACAAGTGCCTGCATACCATGACTTAAGAAAGTAACAATTTATTCATTTGTTACTGATAAACGGATATTTATATATGCGAGAAGCTATTAGGTACTCCCTCCGTCCCGGTCATTTCTTCCGGTTTTGACTGGACTCGCAAATTTAGACAGTGAGAATAAAGTGGAAATGTATTGTTGTAGTTGTGTAAGAAAAAGGTGAATGAATGTGAACCACATATTTTTTCCAAAAGTAAAAGTTGGAAGAATTAATTGGGACGGTCCAAAAAGGAAAATTGGAAGAAATGATCGGGATGAAGAGAGTACTACGAAAGAAATATGGAATTTGCCAAAAAAAATGTCAGGGTTGCGCTAAAATTCATAAAAGATTTTGTAGGGATACATATATCAAATCTGTGTCAAAAACATTTTGATCGGAGCCTTGACTATGTATGATCGATTTATTAATCAATTGTAATATTTTGTAGAAGTGTCACTTGCATTCACTATCAAACCGAAATGGGGCTATTACGGCCCAACGAAGGGGTTCAGCTTCCGAGAAAACCGGGTTTTCCTTTGTGGGATGCAAGATAACGGGCTCTAAAAGTGCCTTTCTTGGGAGACCGTGGGGTGCTTATTCTAGAGTTGTATTTGCCCTAACCCATATGTCCAATGTTGTTGTACCTCAAGGATGGGATAATTGGAATGATCCTTCCAGACAAAGGTACGTAGGTAGGTAAGCTAAGTAACTTATACCTTTCAATTTTACTTGTTGTACATGCATGCATGTAGACCTCAAATTAGGGCTAGGTCGATGAAACCGAAAACCGAATTGAAAAAACCCGAATCGCAACAAAAGCAACTGAAATGTAATTGTTTGGTTCCGGTTTCAGTTTTCACATCTCAAAACTGAACGGAACCGAACAAATCGCAGTTTTTAAAACATGCTATTTTATTTATTTATTTATTTATCATTAAATATAATACTCCGTATTTTGTTTAATTAGTTCTTAATTCTAGAAAATTGATGTTTGATACTAGATTGATTATGATTTACAAGATATTGAAATTTGACATTTATGGTTTAATTAAGTCAAACACTTGTGCATACACTTAATTAAGTCTATTGGTACAATATTAAATTAACATGTTGATATTTTATATTGTGATTTACATTTTGCTTGTTGTTGCATAATAATGATGTTTTGTTGATATATTATTTGTTATGTGTGTTTGTGATCACATAATATTTCATATGGAACAAATATATATATTTATACAGACTATACTTTAAGCAACATAGCAGAAAACGTGAAATTTTATAACACAAATTTCTTTTTCTAAAAAGAAAGTAGAATAAGTTATTTACGATCAATAATGAAAGTCTTTTAGTAAAAAGAAAATGAATTAGTGGACACAACATTTGTAAATAAAATTTTAACTTGGGAATACACTATGTATAATTCACAAATAAACTTATATGTTTAATTAATTTTGAAAATATTTAAATTGACATACACATATTGTATGAGAAATAAAAAATGAAGTTATTGGAGTACATACATACAAATCAAAATTGTATCATCCATACCATATTTGGTAATCTCTATGTGACTCAAATGCACTCATACTACTCTACTTTCGGCATACAAATTCAACATTAAATACATCATTTATAATTATGTCATTTCCGCAGTTTTAATCGTAGTGAAACAGAAGATATATATATATATATATATATATATATATATATATATATATATATATATATAGATTTAGGTTCATGTGAGAATATCATCTTAGGAGAGAAATAAGAATAATTATGCACCATTAGATCATGCCACAAATATAGATATTGGAATGAGATTAATCAAACGTTGATGAGGAGTTTTTGGTAAACTAACAATTTTAGTTATTAATGACCGACATTATTGCTGCACTATTTATATTACCGTTCTTTTAGTTACGGTAAGTATTAACTTCCACATCCAGCGTTTCCTTAGTTTGAATTATTCATTTCTTTTTGTTTATAATTTTTCATTACTTAAGTTTCTAGCTACTAATTTTATTCCATCAGCGGCTTTACGTTTTCATTGAATTACGTATATATAATTATACATTAAAGTGCACCACTATTCAGTTGCAGCCACTTACATGAAAATCATATACGGACAATTATAATTAGATCAAAAATTTGAGAGAAAATATTTCAGCTGGTTCATCTTTATTTTTAAGTTGTAAAAATAAACATCTTAAAAATTCTTAATTAAATGCACTTTTAGAAGTACACTATTATTATATACATTCTTATCTTGAACAATGAAAACTCAAAAATGATATATCGAGAATGCATGATGTAATGCACTTATGCATTACTTAAATAAAAAACTGCATTTGTAATTCACGATGTGATGAGGTGCATTGTGTATATAGCTAGCTAGAGTGCATTATATTTACTGTAAAAATGCATGATTTTATATCAACTTCACATTTTCCTTTCCGTGTTAAAGTTTTATTAATCAATCTATGATTTATTTGAGCTAGTATTCAATTCAAAAAATAAAAGATTGAATGAAAGGTGCACAAATTTAACTAGCTCCACTAATTGCACTTTCAAGGGTAAAATGCACGATAATGTGAAAATTGATGCACTTATGTATTCTTCAATTGCATCACTTATGTGTCCTTTTTAAGTTGCACTTTTATAAGTATACAACTATGTATTTTTTATGCATTTTAATCTTAAAAGATAAGAATTCGTGTACTTCGTACGTAGTCCGTAGACACTACTAAAAGTGTATCATTATATTAGCAGCAGCACAATGCACCATGTATAGTGCATCAAGTTCAACAATAAAATGCATTCGTAAATCGTAATAGACAATATGATGAGGTGTGCAATTGGTGGCCGGTGCATAGAGTACGATTTGTGAAAAATGCATGATAGTGTCAAACTTAATATGATTTATTTAAGATAGTGTTGAATTTGAAAAATTAAAATTAAAAAGTTTGATCGAAATATTGAACTAGCTTCACAAATTGCACTTAATCTATGTTTTGATGCATAGTAAATATTTAATACAGAATAGTAAATAGTTTTGAAGCTTTTTGAATAGTTATTAAATACGAATAAATTATTCCGAATGTGTTGCATACATATGTTAGTTAGGAGCACTCCTAAAATCAATATAATAATTATATAAATTGAAAACTTCCTATACTACTTAATATGGATGCACGTGTAACATGACAAGATTACATAAAAGTCCCTGTTATACTAATTATCGGTTACATAGTTTATCATGACTATTAATTTCCTTGATTTTAGGGATTCATGTCCTTAAATAAACAGCTGAATTTGGCCATTCGATCAAGTATCTCAACGGTGCTCTTCTTTTCTCATTTCTCTCCTAAGCCCTCTTTCTCACCGGAACCGCACCCTATATATATATATATATATATATATATATATATATATATATATATATATATATATATATATATATATATATATATATATATATATATATATATATATATCGCAGTTTTAAATTGAATATCTCACGATGAAATTACTAGTTGATCTATAATAAAAATTTAACCAGATGGTAAAAATCAAAATTGGCCCGACCATATTATTTTCTCATATTATAAGCATCTAACTTGAGTTGTACTCAATTATATAGGGATTATGTAACTTTATGTCTTTATGGTTGTAAATAATATAATTACTGCAGGACAGTGTATTATGGGGAATACAAGTGTTATGGGGCTGGTGCAAAGAGAAGAAAGCGAGTGGATTGGTCACGTAGCTTGTCTAATGAAGAAGCGGCACCCTACTTAACGATCGACATGATCGGTGGCAAAAGCTGGATTAGAATGCTGGCCACCACACGTTTCAAGTGCTCCACTAATTAAGTACTTAATCACATATAAAAGCACCATGCTTATGGTCCATCATATCCGAATGTTTTAAATGAACATGTAGGTGATATTTATTTATGTCTTTTTTCAAATAAAAGTTATTTAGGATATCTTTATATGGATTGAACTTTTTTTTGTCTAATCTAGTCTCAACTAGTCTAATTACGTAAATGTTCGGTCTCTGAGTTTTACGTATATCATACACATGTACGATGCTCACCGTACAGTCACGCGGTGCTCATTGTACATCGTGTTGTAAGATATACGGACCGGTGAAGCAAAGAATGAGGTTGGGAGAGATATATGAACTAATTGTAATACTCGAGATTAATTTAAAAGAATTGATAATACTACTCATATGAATAAGGTGCATATCATTTTAAGAGTGTTCATATGCTAATAACTTCATGTTAGGCTTGCTTGCACGAGAAAGTTGGTGTTACATGACTGACAGTGAGGTTATTAACTCATTAACAGTAAGTCCATAAGTGTAACAGAAATTGACCAATACAGGAGTAAACATAAACATAATTGCATAAATATGAGTACAACTTAAAACTTTCATCAATACGAGTAAACATTAATATTATTTTTTTGTTGCGGGAGTAAACATTAATATTCTACCCTTAGTACCCCTAATCTAAATAATTAATCTAAAATAGGTCTTATTTCATCCTATTAACATATCAAAAAAATCTAAAAAAATTAAATAATAAAAAATTAATTTAAAGAAAAAACTTTAAATATAAATAAAATAGATAAAACGCATTAAAAAATAAAAATAAATATGGAGGCCTTTCCCGCAGCCTCGGCCGCCCCCAGCAATGCCACCTCTGATCGGCAAAAAATGCCATTTTCTATAAAAACTATCATTTTTTCTTTGAAAATGCCATAAAGATGACACTTATACTCTTTGAAAATGTCAAAATTTTCTCAAAAACCGGTATCAAGATGACATTTCTAACAGATTTTGACATTTTTTTCCAGTGGTTGGAGCTGGTGGTGCTGGGAGGTTGCTGAGGCGCCATCAGAGGTCTGCATTTTTTTTACATTTTTATTTTTCTTATTTTAATTTTTTAGTTTTTTATTTAATAATATTTTATACTCCCTACGTCCCATTTTACTTAGCAAAACTTGACTTTTCAAGTCGATGACGTTTAACTTTGAACGATTATATGTTTATATAGAGAAAATATTGATAATATGAAAATGATATGAAAATGTTCTTTGTTTAAAATAGTATCATAAAAATATAAACTATTAAATTTTGCATAGATATATTAGTTAAAATAATTGATCAAAGTTTACCATCTTTGACTGGAAAAGTCAAAGATGTCTAAGTAAATTGGGACGGAGGTAGTATATAATTTTTTTATTAATTTTGTTTAATGTTTGTTTTCTTTGTTTATATTTTTTTACATTTTTATTATGAATAAATTTATGTTGTACTTTATATTTAAATATTAATGAAATATGAATGCCAGCGGCAATGGCCGGGGGCGGTGGCCTGTGATGGCAGCCGACGGCCGTGGCTGCAGGGCTGGGGAAGGTGGTTGGGGGCTGGGGCTTGGGTAGGAGTATATTTGTCCACGAGCCATGCTTGATGTACACCTTTCATACATTTGTTTGTCTTACGTACACAGAGTTACGTTGTTAGTACACAGAAGCTCCACAAAGTACAGACAACTATGTGTGCGTAGACAAAAAAGTGTACGAAAGTTGTGTTAAAAAAACGTGTACATCCAACATTTTTTATTTGTCCAAACATTAAAACTACTCCTATTCAAAACATGGTACTCTTATTTTTGCATTTTATCTATATTTTAGGGCTATTTGGAGAATTCACTCAAATTGTAAAATGAATATTAGGTTTGTGTGTGAGGGTACGTTTGCCAAACCTTAAATTCGAATTCATTTGAAAAGGAAGGTTTTTGGTTCTTTGAAGTAGGTTTTTTATATTTGTACAAGGATTAATGAATTATGGCATTAGTCAGACAATAGGTAATAAAATAATTTAATTATCGAAGTATCAACGCATAAAGTATTTTGGTTGAATATTTGAAATGATGTGACAAGATTCCTTAAACCGCCTTAATTTAATTTTGACATTTGAATGTCGAGGGATAGGGGGGTCTTGGTGTTTCTATCAAACAAAAAGATGGCAACTTGGGAGGTGGATTATCACACCTATTAACATGTTTTGAATTAGATTTATTTCAATCTAGATAAATATAGCTAGGAGTAGAACCATAGACGTAGTAGTAATATTGTGTTTATACTCCTAAATAAGAGTAAATTACTGCAATGCTGAAATCATTTTGACGTGCTTTGACATTACCAGAAATTAACATGATAGTTTTAATGTCATAATTAACATTATTATTTTCTAATACTACGTATTAGATTGTTTCCGGGAAGACATTGAGCTCGCTATGTTAAAGTAGCACACATGATAAAGCATATGAAAAAGTGAAAAAGCCTTGAGGACTGACCGAGGTCCCCGGGCCGAGATTGGGCGGGACTGGGGATTTGGGCTGAAGGCTTAGTACCGGCCCGGGTTTGAACCGGGACCAGGCCGGGCCCGAGTGGGGGCAATTTTTTTTTAAAAAAAAATTAGTCTTTTGTAATTTATTCCTACCTCAAACCCCACCAAAACACCCGGCCCAATGTCACAAAAGAAAAAAAATGGTCCGGACCCGTCCACTGACTCCACTCCAATTCTACCGTAGAAAGTTCAGTTGATAAATTTAAAACAGTAGAAACACTTGCCATCGTTGTAAAAACCAAGTGAAACTTTGAAATCATTAGTATAGAAATGAGAAAACCAAGTGGGAACATTATTATAAACCTCTATATTTGATACTGTGCTTCAAATTAAATATGGATACAAGTCAAGTTCGGTATAAATAACAAAGTTAAGATCATCTTATCCATTCCCATCAAAACTTTATGGAGTAATTTGTGCCTCATCTGTAATAGCGATGTTCGAAATAATGTCTATTTCAGCAGATCTCCACTGTATATATTTTGATGGGGAGTTAACTTTTCCACGGCCCTTTGTCTGACCCCAAACAACCCCCATCCTCTGCACAGTTACATCTACCTCCGAAAACCTCCGGCAACTCCCTGAAAACCCAATGACCCAAACTGCTTAGAAGTCAAAGTCTTCCAATTACCCAGCATTTGTAAAAGTTATTTAAACAATAATTACCCTTCATCGATGACTTCAAGCAATTTGCGTTGGTAACAGCTGCCTAGAACCTACATAATTTGAATTTGAACAAAAGTAAATATGCATGATCTCAGCAAAAGCCTACTGGGTAAAAAAAAAAGGTCTCGGGAAAAATATTCAGGGTGGCAGAAAACTGTCCAAGGCCTTGTTTGCTTTGATGAGAAAAACATAACTTAATTGTGAAATTGTTTTCCCTAGGAATATATTTTCCATGGAAACGTCTAATATAATGTTTGCCTTAGACAAAAGATTATCAGGAAAAATCATTTTTTATCAAGTATAACGCTAAGCTTACACCGCAGATATTCCAAGTAATGGTAGATAAAAAGGACAGAGGAATTTTTTTTATGCTTGGATTTACCTTGAAAATCAAATCGGGTTAAAAAGTTTTAAACTTTTTACGCATATTGATCTCTTAGTTTTTATCTACAAGATATATACTCTCATCGCTATTATTTGGTCTAATGTGTGTTAACCAATGTATAAAAATGCAAGGAGAGAGATGATGTAAGAATAGAAATAGTAGAAAATGTAAGAAAAGAATGATGAAAATGTAAGAAAACTTATTTGTAGCAAGTATAAAAGATAGGATAAATTAGGAAATTGAGCGAAAAATAAGTTACATTCTGATCTAATTCCTTTCATAATTTCTATCACTAGCATTTTCTTGGTTCCAAATGCTTTTAAAGAATCAAGGAAAATAGTTTCCTTCTGGTGCAAATTTCAAGGGAAATATTTTCATGTGCCAAAAAGAGGAAAATCAGAAAACATTTTTACAAGATAATATACTCCGCAATAAAACACTTTAAAGTAAAGAATAGGAGCCCAAAACATACATGAATCTTGGAAGTAGTCTCAGGGTCAAGAAAAGGCTTGAGTACATTCCAAACGAGCCTAAACCCAGGACCAGCATTTAATATGAACATTTGGCCAAGTGTCTGCAAAGCATTTCCATTCAGGGATTATTAAATATGATGACTATGTTTACACTTTACACCTAAAGAAACATGAATGTATCATGAGTTTATCAAAATAGTGAGATTAGAAACATACTTCTGGATAAATGTCATTATCTATCTTCTGCAATCGCATAATAACTTCTCGAACAGGTTTGGATAAATTTGTCATCGACTGCATATAAAAAACGTAGAGTTGATGTAATTTACTCAAATACTCCGTATGAGTTTGAATATGAGAATGAGTCATAGAAGAAGAGTAATGTACCACTCCTTCAACATCTAAAATTGTAAGGCTTTTATCTATGCGTCTTTTTGCAGCTTTCGAGCAGGCAGGAAACCGAATGTGTAAAGACTTCTCAAACTCCTGGACATGGTATCGTATGTACCTGTCCAGGCTAGTCACCTCTAAGACCTTGTCCAGCTTTATCTTTCCTATTCTTTCAATATATATTGGTCGCCCTAGCTTATCTACACCATGATAGCCCTGAGGATAGTATTGCAGCACTTCATTTCTTTCTGGGAAGACAAAATCCTGAGGGAAACACAAGAATCAGAAGAGCAGGAATCAAGATCACTTATCACTTCCTATATAAACATGCCATATACACAATAGATTAAATTAACTAAGAGCCTGTTTGGCTAGGGGATATTGGAGATGAAGGGGGGGTTGATGTTTGTTTTACTAATTTATCTCTATTTTCCTCATCAACTCTTTCCCCTAACATCTAATGTACAAATAAATTAATAAAACAAAAAATAACCCTTCCCTCTTTTTCCGTAGAAGTCCTACAACCAAACTAGGGCTAAATGTCAAGACTACCTCTATAATAGTGTCTGCCCCAAAATCTATCCTCCATTGAAGCATGTCCTGCCACATTTTCTTCGCTTTCTCAAGGTCAAACTTTCTAGCTTTCAAAAATCTGTTGAGATGCAAAGTACACATATATTCTTTAAGCATGCTAAGTATGGATCGCTATATATCATTATGGGAGTAATGGTGTATATATCTCGGATGTTTTTATCACCTCAACAGTAGATGATAATCATCATGCCTTGCAGGAAGTAGACCTTCAATGGACAGAACTTCTCGAAAAGCACTTGCTGCCTCCACCATTTTGGCTTCCCGGCCATCATCTAGGGAAGAAAAATCACTTCTTGACCTGCTTTTATTCTTGGTAAAGGAATTCCTCAATTTATATGATTTGCTCTTCAATGTCCCAGTTCCACTCTTCCTTTCCTCCTCTGGGTTTTTGAAATCAGATCCGTTTTCATTTCCTCCATGACTTCCATGTGAACCTTCAATACCTGAAAATTGACAGAGAGCATTTTATGAAAATGCACTGCTACTTAGGAAACATTCATATTAGAAAAAATGTAGAATATGTGATCCTGTTTCAATTTACACGCATTAGAGTGCGAGTGGTTTCAAATTCAATTGACAGGCTCAAAAATAGAAGGAAACCCTACAACACCATACATCAGCCCAAATTCTGACATCCATTTCTTGAGAATCATCAAATATGGAGCAGTAGAAGCACCAAGTAGTCGAAAAGGAAAAAGCTTCGAAACCAAGATGGACTGTAACAATTAAGCAAAATCGCCATAACTGTAATACCAAATCATCCAGTAGCGAGGATTCATTGAAAAATCGAGCTTATATTAGTAAAGCACCGCCCGCAAAATTTCAGCTTGAACATCAAATTGGAGAGCGACAGCCCAGACAGCAACACATAAACCATAATTCAGTGTTGCAGTAGGTAAATTACTTGTATGTGAACTTACTCAGTTTCTGAAATCGGTCGATCGCATTTGACATTGCCATTCGGATTCCAAATAAAAGATCAAAGCTGTGTTGACGATGATTGAGCTTCCAAGACAAGTTTACTCTGGAGTCAACAACCGGATCGTGAATTTTCTCAGAGCTGAAAAGAAAGGCAAAATCTTTCGTTCACGGCAATGGCTGTGTGAACAAGGTACGGAAAATGGGAGCAGGCGGTGAGAAATTGAGCTTTGGGTGAGGCGGTTTAAGTAATGGTCTTCTTTTTCAAGGAAAATAGCGGTTGGATGCTCCAGTAACTCCGGGCCCAGTTTTGATGACTTTGCTCGAGCGACCTCACCGAATGTCTGGGTGTTCTTTGGCGGGAATTTGATCCTACGACTTCGTAGGGCGGGCCATGGGTGGACAATGGGCATCACTGTGTATCAGGGCATGGGTTTGTCTGATTGACCGTAATCCTTGCTCCTTTTTTTATTTATGATAACGGTTACGGCGTTCCCATAATCCTGCGAATCTTGTAAATCACGTAGTTAAATTTGGTCTTTATTCCCTCTCTTTTTAGTCACTGTGCAACTCCGTGAAGGTAGGAAGAGTTATTGGAAGCAAGACCTCCTTTATCTCCTCTTTGATTTCGAACACGAGACCTCACATATGCGCTGATAAACTCACAATCAATTGGGCTGATATGCACCGGTAATCCTTCCTCCTTAATTGTCTTCTTCAATACCACCCAAAACCTAGAATCGTCCATCACCTAATCCGACAGAATGATAGACGAGTAAAATACGGTATGATCTGAAAGAGCTTATGAGTGAGATGGTTCATAATCTATTGCGCATGAAGAGTAATCACGAAATTCTTTATGCGGTAAGGAATTGAATTTGAGACCTAAATTCAACAGCTTCAAACCGTACCATTGAGCTACTAGTGTGGGTCCTTAATTGTCATTCTGGTTTCTTTGTGATGTTTATTATTATAGAAAATAAAATAAAATTTCCCCAATATTATTTAACTTAACATGAATATTTGAAGCTGACATATTTTGTTACTAGCTTAAAGTACATGTAATATTGAATTTCGAATCTGATATGCCCATTTAAGACTTAAGAGTGATCGTTTTCTACTTCTGATTGTAGAGACTATGCTTTAGTTTGGGAGTACCACTTGATTTTAACCGTTGGTTCAGTATTTTAAATTTTTAATATGAGTTCTTTCATTTAAAAATACAAGAAAAAACTTTTGGCAAGTACTCGGCATTTTCCCTTCAACTTTCCTCTAAATCTTTGGCACAATAAGGAAAAAGGAGAGTTGAAATTTGTGAAAGGACATTTACCACAAAATTCAAAAAGTAAATACCAACAAAGTAGGAATATCTTTAGTCAAAAAGATTAATAAGTAAGACTAATGAAAATCAGATAATGGTTTTTGGAAAAAATCCTCCGAATGGTGATAATTGTATAACTTTTGATCACAATATATGGTAGCATGCGGCAAAGGTGTAACTACAAAATTAAAAATGTACTATAGATTTATAAGGACATTTTCATAAGTAATTATTACTACTAGTGTAATAGTGTTGAACATGTTTTTCTTAAAATATTATTAAAATAAAATTCATATATAAAAAGTGATTAAAAAGATTATAAATGTGTGATGAAGTATATTCCCATATACTTCAGGGGTATCATAATCGCCGGTGAGAAAGCACCACGGGGTCACACCGGAGTGCGTGAAAAGACTAAGTCCATAATCGGACCGACCCCGACCCCGACCGACCAAGGTCAGGAACGAGCGCCAGACAGCGAAATGACCAAAGGCCGAAAGGTCACCCGACCCCGACCTCGAGGTCGGGAAAACACCTGGCTCAGGAATGGGCCTAACTCAACAAGTTATGAGCCCGACCTCAAATGCCCACGCTCGGCACCAAGTCCGACCTCGGAAGTCAAGTATATGGGTAACCAAAGTCAAAGTGTCAAGCGGCCAACCACCACAAAGGTAGAACAATAGACAAGAGGCGAATCCCCTCACAATGAGCCCGAGTCTCCAATCACTGACCCCGATAAAGCTCAAGGTCAGGCCAAGGCATTATGTACTTAGACAAATCCGCAAGGACCAACACCGCAAGGAAGTACCGCCACGTCATCCCCAACAACGGATAATATGCCAGAATGCACACGCTTAACCACACGGGTATTCTGGTAGCAGTTTGTTAGGGATGATTCAAATCAACCAGCTGTCCAAGACTATCTCTCCAATCACCTGTACACGTAGCCGCTCCCCATCGAATTAGACTGATAGTTTGTTAGAATAGCTTTACACGTGTCTCCTTCCCATTTGATCAGCATCTTTTTACTTGGGCACCAAGTATTGTTTTTTATCTCTTAGTATAAACATCACCTTCCATCTTATGGAAAGGGATCACATTCTCTATTCTCTTACTATTATACTGCCGGATTGTTTATCTGTATTTTCCGATCAGTTCACTCTCTCATTCTGTTTGGATTCCGACTACCCGATTCGGTGATCCATCAATGTGCTTTTATAATTTTATAATAATAAGTGCTCCATATAACATAAAATTTGAACATAATAACCATTGTTTCTGAACTTATTAGGTTACATATTTGGTTATATATTTGACATTTATGAAAACGTAACTAAAAATAAAGCTAGTCTTCGTTTCAGCTTTCAACCTATTTAAAGGTATTACTTTCGAGGAAGCACAGAATGATGCAGCCTCTGGTTGCTAAAATCAGCTGGGGGAACGGAGATAAGGACAACACAAGGATTTGAATTAAAAGAGTGGTTTTGGGTTCACCTAAACAAATGAATTAGTTGAAATATGTGGCTGAGACTTTTACACACAATTTGTTACGGAGTATTTTATAAAAAAGAAGCTGTTTCATTATTAAGCAGAGTTATGCTGTTATAGCAGCCTTAGTAACAGGGACGTATATTACATAACAGGGATGGAGAACTATCAAATAAGCACTAGAATTTACATAAAAAGTGCAAATAAGCCTTCTTATAGAAGGCTCTGTCCGATCATCGTCATTTGGAACGGTTTCCGGTTGAATTTTTTGAGCATATTTTTCATTAAGTCTAGTTTACCCATACCAAATTTCAGCTAAACATTCAACCGAGAAGACAGTCAAATGATTTTTTAGCCTAAAAAATCATTTGACTGCCTTCCCGATTGAATTTTTAGCTGACATTTGATATGAGTAAACTAGACTTAATGATTGAATTTTTAGCTGACATTTGATATGAGTAAACTAGACTTAATGAGTAAGATGATAAAAAAGTTTCATGAATTTGACTGCTTTCACTAATCACTAGCCATGATAGCAAGCAATAACAGGAAGCAAAGGTTGCAATAAGAAGGTTATGGGGCAAGTTGTTTTAGTGAGTCAACGAAGAAAAAAGTTCTCCATCCGTAAGACACAAAGGTAGGATTGTAGGAACAGAAGTCATCCGATACCATTGCAGCAATGAGCTATGAAGTAGCAAGCGTAGAACAAATTACAAGAAATGATAATTAAATTTTATAAGATAATACAGAATAAAGTAGTTATCACAAGTAAATATGTTTTTATACACACTTTTGGTTTTTTCTTTCTTAAAATTACAGTTTACCTATATACATACATACACAGAGACACATTCACAGCGCTTTAATTTGCACATTAAGTAAGAGACGGGTATTGATTGATTATTGACAGAGCGTAGAAGGTGATGGTTGACTATACTGGGCTATTAAATTCATCAATACAGCAGATTATGTCCAATTCCTCTTTGAACGGAGTTGAGTCAGCTTGTCCCTCCATTGAGCTGCATTCAAATGACGCACGTTAAAAAGATCATGGGTTATCATTTCCTCAAAAGAACGTTTCTTGTAAGGTTGGATAATGTCTAAACAAAAAGCAGCTACAGACAGACAACAAGAAATATATGTTCAAAAGAATGGATGATCTTGGTACAGACAAAATTAATGGACAATAGTATATATGTATATATATTTATAATCAATAGATAATATGTTGAAGTTTTAAACTTTGTCCCCGCAATACAAAATTTTAATTTCCCGGCCCTCCTAACAATACATTTCTAGCTCCGCCACTACACAAAGTCAATCTACCCACATGGTCACGGGCAGAGCCACTCCCTTAAAGTTCAAGAGTGTAGAGCACTGATATACCTTTGAATTGATATATTACGACTTTCACTCATCAGTTACGTGAGTTTTATAATGTCTGACACATAGTATATGATATACTCCGTATCAAATCAATAACTCTATAGGTCTCATTTAGACTACCATTTATCTCAGCTACGAAACATTATCTCCTACCATATTGCTAGTTGATACTAGATATAGTTAAATTTTGATCTCCGCATACGTTTTTCTGGGACCCCAAACTGCACATAATCACATATCTCCTACCATATAAGGGATGGACTTTCCTAACCATGTTGCATATGTTATAGGCTCATTGATACCTAATAAGTTTAAAAGTTCAAGGAAATGATGAGGAAGTAAACCTGCATCTTTATAGCGCTCCTCTACTGCAGCAAGGAGCATGTTCCGCAGAAGAATGAATTCCTTCGTCTCAATCCCTGGCTGCCCACTAGCTCTGAAAACATAAATAATACATGAGCAGTATAAAAATACGGAGTATTTTATTTCTATCAAGAACTTGTTCACTCAGTACCAGTTCATTTGGACTAGAATTTTTAGGTCCTGAGCTGCTTTTGAATGAATTGATGATTTGGTATGAATGTATGATATTATGCAGACTTTATTTCTATAGCTGCATTCTTTTAATATAGGCGACATATAATTAAATTAAAACTTTCAACTTTCTTTGACTGATAAGTTATAACTTAAATTTTTTTAGTCATACAAACTTAAATTGATAACACATAAAATATACATAAACAATAATGATAACTTATAAAAATTTAGCCAAGAAAAAACAGCCAAACTATGAATAATCATAGAAAAACTAATTAAAAAAATCTGTTTTATTATACAGTATATAAGTAGTAGTACTAAGTATACAATATAGTTATTATTCATGAACATATTTTTATAATAATAAAATCACATAATAGCATATCACTTCAGAATGATAACCATCTGTAGCTGCTTTTTGTTTAGACATTTCCGACTAAAATGGGAAGATTCCTTTGAGAGATCTAAAAATGATAAGTGGAAAGAATTTTCTTGAACGGAGGAGGGGTAGTATGTAATATGGCTCATGGCTGTATATAACAAATTGAGATCAGAGAATGGTCAAGTACTCAAATTACTTATGTACTTGTCCAGTTCACAGATAATAAATCACTTTAAATTACTGATGAATATGTAGACTATATAATGTGCCCGACAGTTTTACCTGTCAAGCTCACTCATCACTGACGAATCTGAAGGACCTAGTATGATAGGCTTGGCAGAGTCAACCACCTTAATGCCATCACTGTATGCCAAGTACTTGTTCACTTGTATTGGCACCTATATAAGTTATTTATCAAGTACAAGCCACATTGAGATATTTATCAGCCATTATTTTGTTTCATTATCAGTAAAACTTAATTATATGCAGTATATAATTTCACTTATTTGTACGTTTAGAGAAAGAATAACAGAACCTAAGAATAAAAATAACACATACATTGGTGTGTATGTGCAAATATATTTATATTGCATCATAAGTTTAAAAACGATAACACTTCCCGTGAAGCAGCAAAATGCTTTGTTGGGTAGCATCATCTCGCTCTTTCTGCTTATTACCGAATAAGTAGCATTTGACTCGCTTTTGACACACATCGGTTTAAATATGTTACAAAATCCTTTACTTACAAAATATCAACAAATCCATTCATTTCATAAAATAACCCATGGGAAATAAGACCTTAATTGTCTTCAAGAAAAGTTCAAAACAATCAAAGAGAGATTATTACCTTGCATCTCACCGCAATGTTGATGGCATCAGAAGGCCGGAGATCAAAGCTGATACTCTCATTTTCATTACCATATTGCTATGAAAAGAATATTATTGCAAGTGCAGGTTAATACTCAAGATTTCTCAATCATAACTAGTTAGACCCTAAGGTGCATTTGGAACTCGAAAAATACCAGGGGAAGGAATATAAAGTCGAAGAATCGAAGCAAACAGAAATTGCAGGACAATGACCATGGAAACAGATCGAAACTGATGCCCTCATTTTCATTACCATATTGCTATGAAAATAAGTTAAAAAACATTATTGCAGGTGCAGATTATACAATCATAATTAGTTCAAATCCTAAGGTGCATTTGGAACTCGGAAAATACTAGGGAAAGGAATATGATGTGGAGATATTGAAGGAAACAGAAATTGAAGGAAAATAAAAAGGGAAAACTGTCAATTACACCCTCGTACTATGGGCGAATCCTCAATTGAGTCCTCCTACTTCGACAACCTTCAATTGAATCCGCCAAGTCTCCAAAATCAATCAATTAGGTCTACATTACCGGTTGGTTCCCGGTTTGCCGGTAATTGACTCTAACTCCATACCCAGAAGATCTGAAGCTACAGCTCTTCTTCAATGGGCTGTTCATGGTCTTCTTTGACAAAGCACAACCTACCGAATACCCATCCCCAATACAAACTTGATACTGCTGTAGCGGCTGTCTATAGTGCTGTTTTCGGCTGTCACCACACAACACAAAGTAGATGGGATGGAAAGGCTTTTGTCTTTTGTGTCTGTTGTGTTCCTCTTTTTGAAGCTATGGTGGGGTTGCGTTATGGACTTCACTCCCAGTTTAGCTCAAGCACCCAGCCAGATAAGCCTCTGGTTGCAAGTTTCAATCTTTGATTTATTTATTTATTTATTTAAGCCGGCCTTGATATTTTCCCAGAAACTATGGCTTTAATTTCCCAGAAATTCAGTTTACCCCCCTCCCCCCCTCGGAATTCATATTACAAGCTGCTGCAAACTAGACCTAGAATTCAGTGTTTAGCAAGCCGGGATTCCACCACTTTTCTGTCTGCATCTGTTAATGTAAATGGTAGCCCCTCCAGTGATGTGCAGTTGAGGTCTGGGGATGAAGGTCTGGAGGTTTTGTGGGACGATGGATATGGGACTATAACGGTTAAGGATTATTTTGAATTAGCTAAAGAGATTATTAAGGCTGATGGTGGACCTCCGCGGTGGTTTTCACCAATCTCCTCTGGTCCTCCTATCAAACACTCACCCCCTCTCTTTTTCTTGCCCGGAGGAACCGGCCAGGAAGAACGAAAGAAAGAGAAAAGAGAAGAGGAAGAGAAAAAGAAAAAAGAAAAGAGAAGAAAAAAAATTAAAAAAAAAATCAATTGAAGGCAAGCAACCGGCAAACCGGGAACCAACCGGTAATGTAGACCTAATTGATTGATTTTGGAGACTTGGCGGATTCAATTGAAGGTTGTCGAAGTAGGAGGACTCAATTGAGGATTCGCCCATAGTACGAGGGTGTAATTGACAGTTTTCCCAAATAAAAATGGCCTTCGATTCAATATGTTTCTTTAGCTATTTGTTTAGTTCACTATACATTTTTCCCTTTTATATAAAAACTAATAAATCTAGCATGCTAAGGAATGAAAGGAAATGGAAGTGGGTTCTGTACCTCATTTGGGAGAGGTATAGCTTAATAACCCCAAAAGTTGGAAACCAGAAACATAGTAAAGCACTTACCAAGCATGGCCTACATTCCATTCCCACTCCCCAAACCTCCCTATGTGTTTGTGTGTATTTCAAGGTAAATTGAAAATTAATTTTTCTTCTAATCCCCCCATAACCTAGCTTTATCCTGGATCCATATATACCATAACTAACTAAGTCAAGGCACTCTTATTAGAGTTACCTTGTTTAGATACAATTGAGCAAAATATGCCTCATTTACTCTCTTCGTAACACGAACAAGTTTTACCTGCATCAAAGGCAAATAAGACAAGCATGAATAACATATCATGCCTCAAAATGCCAGAATAACAAACTTACTTGATAGCCCATTTTCTCAATCATGTCCTTCACCACTTGATAAATTGTTGGCCTTGCCTGAAAAGCAACCAATACACGTCACTGTTTAAGCATTACAAAGTTGGAATAAGAAAACCAGAAGTTAATACAAAATTACTAATAAGCTAGAATATGTTATAATCATAACTAAAATCATACAATTTGGACATTGCATACAGCTGCCATAAGCAGTACACTTGGCATCTCCACTGTCAAGTATAAGCAAAAAAAATGTGAGAATGGGAGTTTTTGTGGACCTACTGAAACTCTTAAGTTAAAAACTCTCGCAAAAGAACATACAAACAATAATGGGGAGAAGAAGGCCAGTCCCGTCTTCCATTTTCAATACTATTGCTGGATGAGGAGCATAATCAAGTACATGACCAGCCTGAGAGGTGTTATGCACGCATCTCAGATGTCTACCATCTCTCATCTTGATCATGAAACCTTCCGCACCACTCCGTACTTCAACTGAAAGAAGATTCAATTACAATTATCCTATTACGCCAGCGAGATAAGAAGAGTACTTTAATGTCATACATATGGTCTGTACTTTTACATTGCATTTGGGTGTAATTGGCATTTCATAATGCATTACAGAAAAAAAAAATGTTTATGCATTTTGAAAATGAGAGCATACTGGCTTCAAGCACGCTAGAATTCACATAATCAGCATCATTCTCATTGAAGTTTTCTGCTCTGCTGCCATTGCCATTTGAGGATGAGCTGAAAGTGCATGAAATCAGCTTGTTTATTCGTAATCGTGGTTTCCGAACCTGCCTACTATAGACCCCAGAATCAGTACCCCAGAATCTGCTTCTAAGAATTGTAGTAGCCTTCCCAATGCGTGAATTGACAGGGATGGAGTATTGCTCTGTAAGTTTAGTGCTAACCACTGGACAAGCAACGGGCCCTTGTAGTGAATTCATTCTTCCTTCCTCTAAGACCTCTGCACCAACTTAAGAAAATCATGCACAAAATACACATCGAACACAGCATTTAAACCCTTCAGTTACTTCTTAGTTTTCTCTAATAAAAGTAATTCTTGTATTGACAGCTTCTTTTTTGGCTTATCAATTAGGTTCTTTTTCCAAAACATCAACTTACACACCACCATGGACCATGGTTGAACCTGTCAATAATGAAAATGTAATCAAAAGTTTCATTTATCTTATCTGAAATGGAAGGCATTCATACTTTAACCTTTTCAATAGATATAATCTTTTCTTTATTTATTTAAATATACTACTTCAAACCGACCCCATACTCTATTTGGAATATGGCTTCATGTTGTTGTATTCCAATATTACTTCATATTTTTTAAATAACTTTTACCTAATTTAAGAGATCAAGCCATTTCAGCAACAAATCCAACCATTTCAATAAATTAAGCCATTTTAACCTTTACCAAACGGGCCTTAAGTCTATAACCAATTGTCAAATTCACAGAGAGAATAATCAACTAAGCCTGCGTTTGGTAGCAGCTAGTTCTGACTTACTGAGTTATTATAAACAAAATAAGTACCTCGTATTTGACTTTTCTTGTTTCGCTGAAATGAGTGTCATTAAAGGCTATTCCTTTTATAAAAACCCAGCTGTTCAGTAATTGAAAAAAAAAAAACAGTCCTCTACCAAACGGATCCTTATGTAGTTATGTCTCTGTTTTTCTATTCTGATATCCCGCAAGAATAACAACGGAAATTCATGTAGTTACAGTTTCAGCTTAAGATGATATTCCGATAGGACATACGCACGACAAGTTCTACGGCTATACCACTATGAACATAACTTACTACCATGATTTTCGCTGCTTTTACTGTCCAGATAGATCGATCACAAATATATACAGAGTATACAAAACAGAGTAAGTACAAGGAAGAACAAAATATTGTGAACAATAAAAGTAAAACCGAAATTAAGCTATGCAAAAGTTTACCGAAATGATCAGCTAGGGAATCCTTGAAGTCCAGTTGAAGCTCCCGGTCTTAAATAAAAACACCAATCAAGAATTCCCAGGAATCGGTCCTAGCTTTAATGACGCAAATTGGTGTTCAACTTTATCCGGTACTTGCCAAAATTAGAAAAATAGAATATCAATACTGTCAGACACGGCAGATGATAAGTACAACCGTAGTAAATATGGAGACCCGGCCCGATAAGGATAAAGGAACTGGATAATTAGGAGCCGACAGAGAGAATGGATAAAGAAGAAAAGAAGATGGGAGAGAGATTGGATAAGAGCGGAAGTGCTTTGGGAGTAGTGTAAAATAGAAGATGATGAAGAAATGGGGAGTGGAGAAGATATAACAACTCATCAATAGGACACACGGCCGGGTGCAGAGTAACAAACGGAAACCGTCTCGTGTGGTGGTGCAATGACGAATTCGCCCTTGGTGTGGGCAGTACTTCACCTAAAAGCCGGCGGTTATCCTCAATTTGTTAGAAAATCCCGAACTTGCATCTACCGTACTGATTATGGATAAGGAGAGGGCTGGAAATATCAATTTTCGTTTCAGTTTTTATCGGTTTTTGTTCGGTTTGAAACAGATAAAAAAAATTATTACCAAACAAAAATAATGGTATGCGTGAGTTTATTTCGGTTCGATTTCTATTTGTATTTTTAAATAGCATACGAAGGTTTATTTGATTTTTTTGGTTCGGTTCGTTGTTATTCGGTTTTTCTCAATTTTGTCTTAGTTCGATTTAATACTGCTCGGAAGAAATACTATCAAAATCAAACCAAATTGAATTTGATTAGACATGTATTTATAGTGAATTTCCGAAATTTTGATCGCATTAGGATAAAATAGGGAGGCACGTCGTGCCGTGACTGACACTGGCTATTTGGATTGAGTTTCTTGCCATGCACGTCGTGCGTAGCTCCACGCACGCCATGTGTGACCCCAGACGTCCTCAACCTTAGTTTTTTCTCCGTTTCTTCCTCGTTTGGACCTTCCCTTGGTACCAAACACTAAAGCAAACATAAGAGACTATCTAAAGATCCTCTAAACGATACGAAACACAATTTTAATTATTTTCCAAATTCTTTCAGATTTTGGGGGTATTACATTCTCCTCCCCTTAAAGGACGCTTCGTCTCCAAAGCTCAAGTCAAAACAAAGTCAAGTTGAAACGCTGAAGCAAATACCTTATCAAAAGAGATCGATATTTAGAATACTAGAAACTCCTAATGAAATCCACCAAGTTATACCTAATACCATAAGATCTAGGATACTAGGAACATTCTCATAGCAATTCTCAAGTTCAATAACTCACAAGATACTCTAGGATAATGAATACCTAGGAGCAACCACTGGAATATTTCAATCAATTCACAAATTTCAAATCCAATTCAAAACAACACAAAACACAATAAACGATCATCTCAGAAGCTCACACACGCCTACACCTTAAGATTCATTCCTGATCAGATTCCTAAATGAAAATTTAAATTTTCATTTAAATTTTCGCGGTATTACAGTGGTCTATAAAAGATATTTATTGGTATGAAAAAATATAAAAATATAAAATGCATTATTTTTTAATGGTTTGGTCTGGTATGTTTCGGTTCTCATCTAGGACCAATCCCGTACCTGTTTGAAATGATACGGTTTCGGTTCGGGATAAAATTCTATACAACTCTTCAAATACCCGATATTCGGTTCGGTACCATTACGGGCCAGTTCAGTACCAGTTCGGTTCAGTTTTTATGCCCAGCTTTAGTCCTTATGCCTACTATGTTCATTGCTTAGCACATCGGCTGCAATTAGCATTGGTTGTTGTTTCTAGAGACGTGAAATATGTGCATGATTTTTTACTGATTTAGTATTTATTATTAATGTGACTAGTTCTTCTTGCAAACGAAATGATGAATTTAAGGCTACTCGGGCACTTGAAATTGCAAGAATGTTGGAAATTGGTGAGATTGAAACATGTTGGTACATTAAAACGAGTCGGTGAAACTCATTGGAGCTCGCATTTTAGTTTTGCAGTTTTATTAGGATGTTTGTTGCAACTTGTTCTGATTTAGAAGACGTTGAAAAGGATGGCAATAACTTTTCCACTCTTGGGGATGCAACTAGAGCACTAAAGAAGATTAAATCTTTTGATTTTGTTTTCTTACTCCATCTCATTAAAGTAATTATGGGCATTACAGATCTTCGATGTCAGCATCTACAAAAGAAGTCCCAAGACATAGTAAATGCTTATATGCATTTGGTGTCAAACACCAAAATATTCACCCAAAAGTTAAGGGGGTGGATGGGATAACTTCCTAAAAACTGTTAAAGGATTTTGCAAAAAGCATGAGATTGAAGTTCGTAATATGAATGCTCCTTATGAGCTAAAATGCAAACGTCATGAACAAGAATGATTTGATATTGAACATCACTATCAGGTTGCAGGGTTGGAAAATGTTGGTGCTCCAGACGACAAATCATTTTAGATAATACTTCATATCAATACTAAAATTAAATATGAAGTGCATAATGTTGGAAAATGTGTTAAAAATTGCATTAAATGGTCATTTTGGGGCAATTATTTGAGTGGCGTCCATTTCCGATTTGGGTCAATTCAAAGTGGTTTCGGATTGCCCTTGTTAAGGGCTACAATTCGATATATGGTACGCTCAAAACGGATAACGGGTGAATGAGAAATTGATTCTCGAAGTTCACTCGTTGAAATGGAAAAACTGGGAAAATGATAAGTTTCTAGTGTGTTTTATCCCACACCGGAAAACTCAAGGGATTTTCACCCCCTTATAAAGGGAAGCCTCTTTTAAGGAGTTAAGATTCCTAAAGGTAAAAGCTCTCTCTTACGCGCAGGGGGGGTGCCGATCAAATTCCGAAACGGAGAAGAAAAACCGCGACTCGTGTGCGCGGGCGACCTGCGGACACGAATGCCGTCCGAAAAATCTATCATTCAAAGATACGGCGACCTGCGGACACGAATGCTGGACAGAAGGCCTTGGGGTCTTCTGTTGGCTTCAGACCAGAACACCTGAGGTGGAGGTATTTTGTTCTCACCAGAAGGTCTTCTGGTCCGTTACAGCAATAAATACCCAACGTTCTTCTCTTTAAATGCTGTGTTAAATGGACAGTTTATGGACGATTCAATGCCCAACGGACTGGTCATTGATGTCCAACGTTCAGGTCCATTAACACCCCATTTAACACACAACAAATACTCCTATAAATGGATGGCAGGTGGTTTGCAACAAACACACGTTCTTACACGTTCACAAGCAATCATACACATATTTTAGCTCTCAAAAAACACTTCCAGCTACTCCGAAAATTCCCAAATGTTCTGCTATTGTTCCAATTCGCCGGGACTTTCGTTTGTGTGCTCAAACGATCGTTCGTTAGCCACCGTATCCTGGGAAACGGTCGTTGCAATGCTCCTAGCACAGTGGGAGGTGACGAATACGTTTTAAGAACATCGTGCTTATTTCTATTTTTCTTTAGCTATTTTATTAATTAATTAATTATTTTTATTAATTAATAGTTCTTCGTTTTTTCGAAACACACCCTACACATAAAAATCGAAAAAATGCGACTACTATCTAATGCATTTAAAATTGATTGTAAAAGGTAATAATTAACTTACAAATGATATTGTATTCAAAAATAAATATTCTTATATGGAATAGATAAAGCTATAAATATACTACCTAATAACCAATTCTTCTTGCCTTTTGAAGTACAAAATTTGTGAGTACATCACTACAATCAAGAGTAGATAATGTTCTTTTTTCCATTGATAACCTAGCTAGCCCACTTAACCTATCTTGTGACATCGTTGAACGGAGATAGTTTTTTATCAACTTCAACTTTGAAAAGCTTCTTTCGGCAGCTTCAACTGTCACATGTATAGTTAATAAAATCCTGTAAGTGACCCAAGCATGAGGAAAAAAGATATACATCTCTCTTATATACTCCATCACTTTAACGACTTTTGGTTTGCCTCCGGGTAATGACTTTCTTAAAAGTTATAGCTCTGAAAACAACTCAATTGAATCAATATCACCATCATCCCCGTGCTTAAGAGAACTTTCAAGGGTATCACAACAACGTGCCAACTCTTCATTGCTCATTGTCCTTAACTTACTTAGATTATACAAGAATCCAAAAGTTTCTTCATATTTATGAAACTGCTCAAATCTGGTTTCCAATGAAGAAATAACATTATCAACAACTACCAAGAAATATGTTGCTCTAAACACATCATCCACTGACTTTATTGGCTCATCGTCCGCCTTCTCATCAAAAAACTTCTCTTTCGTACGAACACGAATGTCACAAAAACGAGGCTCAACATTTAATTCAACGGCAATATTTTGAGCTGCAATTTTGGCTTTCTCAAACCCTTCTTCTCTATATTCTTTAAAAAAAAATCAATAAGCCCTTTTAAGAGACCCAAGGCCACACCAACATCCATATCTCTTTGGTGAAGTATTTTGCTCATTTTGTTAACTTTGTTCAATATGTCATACTAACAATAAAATCAAAGTTCATTTCATATTAAGATAAGGACTTCACATCACTCACAGTGCTAGCATCATTACTAGTTATAGTCAAGTGCTCCAATGCATGTTTTATTTGTGGCGATTGAAATCTGATTGCTCTAACACAAGCAATACGACTTTGCCATCATGTATCAGACCATGCCTTTAGTGTAAGACCTTTTCCATCACGGTCTTTGACAAATGTTTTGAAAATCTCCCACCGTTTTGTTGAACTTGAAATTAATAATAATCACAATATATCGATAATTAATTACTGAACAATAAAAGTTAGGGAAAATGGAAACTAATAATCCAACTTTTTAGCGGTTTTCTTATAATAGTCTCACCTTTTCATTATTCATGAATAATCCTACCTGGGAATTATGGTATAATGTTTTGCAAAGATAAGAAAATAACTTAGAATAACAGGTCATAAATCGGTCAGGGACCAGTGAATGAAGATGGGGTGCAAAGGTTGGATTATTCATGAATAATGAAAAGGTGGGACTATTGTAAGAAGATCGCTAAAAGGTTGGATTATTAGTTTCCGTTTTCCCTAAAAGTTATATGTGTAAAGAAAAATTAGTTAATTAATGAGTTAATAAATAAATAGTGTTACCTGAGAATAATTTATAAATTCGTTGTATCACACCAAAAAATGTTTTTGCTTGTGGACAACTCATGGTCATATCACAAAGTGAAAGGTTAAGAGAATGACAACTACATGGGGTGTAAAATGCTCTAGGATATTGTAATACTTGAGATTTAATTTAAA